TATTTGCAACATAAAGAGTCTTGTAACTTCGATATCAAATTGGAAGTTGATCTTAAACGTAAGTTGTCTTTTTTATTACTTTTCTTATAGTTATTCATATTCCTGTATGTATTGCTTAAACATTTTATTTTATTGTATAAAATAATTTTAATTTTCTTGTAGCATCAAGTGGTGTAGTCACGACCATATGCCGGAGCAACTTCAAACACATGTACTGGACTCCACAACAACAACTGGCGCATCATACTATTACAGGATGCAACATTAAACCTGGAGATTTAATGGGGTCCGGCACTATAAGTGGAAACGTGCGTTTAAAATTTAATATTGCTGTAATCGGCATTATTAATACAATTAATGTATTAAATTAGCTTTTGTCATATTTATCTGTTGGCGTAATTTCTATTTTTTTTAAATTACGTAAATTATGAATTTTATTTTACATTTTATGATATAAAATATTTATTTAGACTTCGGATTCTTATGGTTCAATGCTGGAATTATGTTGGAAAGGCACACATACCATTGCGCTAAAAGATGGTACAACAAGAAAATTCCTTCAAGATGGTGATGAAATAATTATTCGTGGTAAGTAAATAAACTATTTATTATAATATATGTCCATATAAAATTATATAATTATTTATTTGATTGTTTTCTAGGTTATTGTGATGGCGATGGTTATAAAATTGGTTTCGGAACATGTACGGGTAAATTGTTATCTGCTAATAACTAACAAGTGAAATTGGTGCACAAGGCAAAATTATATTCTATATGTAACTGTCTTTTATATATTTTATATTAAATTTTTAATACTTTAAAATAAATTACTTATTATACACTTATTTCCTATCTAATTTATTTTTCCAGTTCATTAATAGCGAGATTTGAAAAAAAAAACAGCATTTATTCTTAAATTAAAATTAAATCGAATTTAATTATACACGTATTAATTAAACCGCGAATTTTCTATCAAGAAACCCTATATATATACATAAAGATGTTTACCAATTATATTTTTCGTTTCATTAATTATAAAATGATTAATTATTTATATATATAATATTTTGCATTTGCTAACAAAAAAATTTATATAGCTAAAATATGTAAAAATTAAACGGTTTACCACAATGTGTTTAAAGAAATAATATGTGTGGTATGACGTACAAAATAACCCGATTATTGATTGCGAGGATAGTCACAGTAAAGTCGATCAATAAGGAGGCCAGTACAGGTACAAGTATAGAAGAAACATGGCAGGCGTTCTACTTCGGTAAGTAAAATACACAAATTTGAGTTATAACGATGTTCTTATTCTTAAAAGATTATTTAATATACATTATTTTAATCTGTCTCGCTGTGTTATCAATATCTTTATTTTCATAAATGTAAGTTACGCAATATTAAAGAGTTAATGCACTTGTGCTCGTAATTGTACTGTAGCAACAATACATAATTATCTTAGTAAATGTATATTTCGTTCGTTTAAACACACGCAAGCACGTATATGCACAGACTTTCTATTATTTATAGAAATAAAATATATATATACATATACATATTTTTAGAGTTATATTTTTGGAAAATAACATATTATTTGTAATGTCATTAGTCATAAGCACTATAGATCTTATTCGATCAATTAGTGACATAGATAAGTGATTGTCACACTAAAAAACCGTTATTAAAATTTGATGAAAAAATAATGAAATTATAACGATTCATCAAATTTTAAATAACGATAAAGAGGTAATAAATTATTTTTTAAATTAGCAACGAATAACGGCAACAAATTACTTTTATAAAATAACTTTCCTAATTCTGCACATTCTAATCATTATCCTAACTTTAACTTTATTACACAGTCTTTAACGTTGTTTCCTGTAATTATTGTCGAAAGTGATATATTGATTGCTACATACAAATGCTGTTTGTAATAATACTTTATGTTTGGCATTAATTTACAATATCAGCATCTACATATAATCTTTTTATATGTATATGCAGTATTTATATTACATTATACAGTATTTTATTATTATTGAGTTTTAAATACTATATAGCGTTTATTTTAACGTCTATTTAGAGGTCTTAATAATCTGGAAACTTCACCAAACGAACCTACTGCCAAATGGACCGTTCCTTTGAGTGACGGGAATCATGTGGTAGAGTTTGAACATGGAACAGCAACAGGCCGACGTGTGGTAAAAATCGATGGAAATAATATACTTCATAGAGATTGGATGTTTCGTCTAGTCGGTGATGAAGTTTTCATGTTTAATAATATCAAATTTATAATCAGAGTCGATCCAATGCCAGGTAAAACCTTGTTATTATTTTATCATTGCGATGATAAATGTATTATATCGTTACAACGATTATATATAGGTCTGAAGTATTCTTATTCGTTGTGGGTGAATGGAAAGAGCTACAAGCAATTTGTTCAGTCGCAATCAAAAATACTAGAAACTTGGTTAGCCAAAGTTGGGAACGAAGAATACAGAGTTGTATTAGGTAATTCATCAAAGCAGTTAACGTATTGTATACAGAAATTTTTCTATTTTATAACAATTGCAGATAAACACGCTCACAGCGTTTGGGTGAATGGACAAGAAGTGGAAGTTGAGGTAATAATAATAAGAATAGAAATATCCATCATTATGCTTTTATGTATCCAATATTTAGCAAATGTTGCTTAATATATAAATATATAAATGAAATAACGATTTGTACATAGAATGAATTTATGGACGGCGGCGCAGAAATTCTTTTCTCCGTTGGTGATTTACCGGCCGCTATTAGATCTTACAGTTCGGAGCAAAAAGAAATCGGTATAGCGTACGTTTTATACATCAATGACGTTGAAATACAACAAGAAGCTTTAGTAGAAGAGTCTTAGATATGTTTTAACTCTTCTAACTAAATTTTTCGTGTTTGATATTAATCGATAAGTCGATGCACATCATCGATAATTAGAATTTATGTGCATCATTAAATAACTATAAATAACTAATAAATGTTAAACACAGTATTAAAAAAATGTTATTCTTGTAATATTTAAATTTAATATTAGCACTATCAAAAATGTGTGCCATATAATTTGTGTACGTTTTTTAAACTATAAAATAAAGTTGCATGTAAATGTACTTGTGTAAATGTACTGCATTATAAATGTACTTGTTTTAATTTACCCAAAAATATATTTTATTATTAAAAAGTAATACTTGAAGATAGTTGGAATTTATATTTTTGTTTGCGTGACATAAAAACTGTGACATAAGCAGAATTGTTCAAATATATATGTGTATTATATGTAATTTTAGGTATTTATAATAAAATGTCAAATTTTAGATGATCTAAAAAGATTATGTTATGTAAAGATTAAACGTGAAAGACTAAACATGTTACAACAACAAGATAGTGCTTTTAGTATCGGATCTTTAGTTTTAACTCCTAAACAAGATGAATTCTGTTATTATGAAGGTATAAAGAAATCTATGTAATTTAATTATATCTTAAAAATCACGAAAAATTTTGTTGATCCAGATATGACGGAAACGGAATTACGACAAGTACTTGAAAATGTTATTTATTCGAATCTATTCCTGAGGTTAGAAAATGACATTTTTGAACGGTACCTTGCGCGTCGAAATCCTGAAAGTGTTCAAAGTAAATTTTTATTTAATTCATATATATTTCAAGTTTTTCTGAAATTCCGATATTCCCATTTTAGATTAAATTTTTCGCAGATATATTGATATTAACTTTACCTTTTAATATATCTTGTCTAGCAATAGCGCAAATCTTAGAAACCACTAAACGCGTACAAAAAATCGCACCTCAACACAGTCGCACATCACCCGTTATGAGCGCAAGCGGAAGTCTTGTGAATGTTTGCGACAAAGATTCAGCGAGCGTCTCCAGCGTCACGCCAAGTCGACACGTCACGCCGAGTCTTTTAACAGCCACAGTACCAAGTGGAGGAACAAAGTCCGTCCGCTAGACATTATAACTTCTGCTACAGTTTTATCAGTTACAATTACAATTACATTTCTTGCTGAACCGTAGAATTACATATATGGATCGTATCGAAATGGTACACACCGAAATCCGGGAATTACAAAAAAAACTAGAAAAAACCGAACAAACGTCTACAAAGAAAAAGATATATTTGCGAGCACGAATGGAAGAAAATCAGATCAGCATTCGTGAAATTTTTAAGAATAGGGAAGAATTTGAAGAAAATGTTGTACAGAAAGGCATAGATAGCATTACGGGGAAAATACCGGCTGAAAAATTTATCAGGTGTTATAATAAACATCTTACAATTATATATATGTTAACTCTTTGATAATTATAGATAGATCATATAAAGACATAAAAGATCTAAATTTATTATGTAGATTTATAGAAGATTCCTTGAAAGTAGTCGACATAATAACAGAACAAATCAGATTGAAGATGGCTACCATAAAGTGTCAGATAAGAAAAGTCAAGTTACAGCTGAGGCATAGAAAAGAACTGGGCGAGGCTTTACGCGTCATAGACTTCGAACAATTGAACATAGAAAATCAAATTTGCGTACAAAAAATCGACGAGAAAAATCAGTATTTGCTCGAAATGAAGAGAATCGCGGGTAAGAGACAGATTAGATTTTTTTTGCAATAAATAAATTAAATCAACAAAGTTGAATTTATTATAGGCCGTTATAACATTACATTAAGCAAACATAAGAAAAAAGTGGATGGCCTAATGTTAATTATGAATCAAGTGAGAAACAAAATTGTTTCCAAGAAACAAGAGATTGTAAAATTGCAATCAGAACAAATTGCTACAAAAATTGAAATAGATAAAGAGGAAAAACAACTTAAATCGATAATGGAATTAATAAATAACTTTGAGGTAACATTTGTTTTTATTGTCTGTAACTTGATATATTAAATCTAAATATATATATTTTTATAGAGAGAGAGAGAGAGAGAGAGAGAGAGAGAGAGAGAGAGAGAGATTTCTTTTAGAACAATATTTAATTTTTTATATAAAAGATTATAGGACTTGTAAAAATAAAAGAATATTCGTAATTATTTATTAACCCATTAATTATAAAAAAATATTGTATATGCAGGTTCCGAGTGTTATAGATTCTATTAAATTGCGTATAAAGCTACAAGAATTACAAAAAATCCATAAGCGACTAAGCAGACGACGAGAAATTCAACGAATAACACTCAAGTCTCGGAAATAAAATGCCTTAAATGCATTTTAATATGCACAGTAATAGATTTTCGTAATTGTTAAGGAAATATTTAATAAATTTAAATAATGTTTTATGTTGTTTAACAAATGTAGTATTGCTAATCTTTGTTCCCAGAGCTTTTTCTGTTTTTAAGAAAGAGTTAAAATATTTATCCGCTATACTGTATTGACAATCTAAATCGCATAAAATAGTAGACACAATTACATGAAATCAAGAAGATATAAGTCTCTCTTTATTTTTGTACCGTAAAAAATAGATTTAAGTATTTTAAGTATACCGTTGTAGAAAATACTCTGAACAGTTGAAAGCAGTGTAGTGTAGTAATGTAGCAGTGAGTTAAAGTCTTGTTACGAACTTACATTTAAGAAATCGCAATATATCTTTTAATATTATTTAATCGATTTAAAAGTGTATTGTAAATATATTTAATAACTGAAGTTAGCTATCTGAATTTATTTATTAAGTTTTATATAAATAAAATTAAAGAAATGTGTTTCGGTTTTTATTCAGTAATATAGTACAAGCATAGGATTTATATATATCCAATTACTTCTAATACATTTTATTGAGAATAATTTATTTAATTTTAATAAATATATACATGTTTATTTATATACGTATATGTATATAAGAAATCATTTTTATTAATTAACTTTATTATGTTGTACTTTTTGTTTTAATGAATATGTCATTTTAATAAATTTTCTGTAGAGATACAGGGTTGAAGTTAACATCAAATGAAGACTTTTTATTATTAGTTATTGTAACACATATATAATGACGTAATTATAAAGTTAAAGCGATGTAGAAAGATTTTGGCGTGTGCTACGATGCGTTAGGCAGTTACGCTTCACGCACCGATAGTGCCTGTCCCTTCCTCTTTTTGCCTATGGAATATCCGTCCCGGAAAAGCCCATCTCTCTTTCTGCCACGATTCAGTTTTACCGCGACGACAGCATCGAGCCTTGGCTCTTTAATTCAGTTGTCGAACGACTGATTGATTGTTGTGCTAAAGTCTATAAATTTAAGGAACATTGTGTTTATATAGTAGGATGTCGCTTATAATAATTCAATTTTCTTCAAATTTTTGATACATGACGTTATCTGAGTTTGATTTAAATTATGGTTTAGTTTGTGTTGGAAACGGCATAAACTTTTATATTATGCAACTTATACAAATATTAACGAGAAATATTATTCTTCTGTTATGTAATTTAAATGTGAAACAATTGATATCAGAATATTGGCGCAATAAAAAACTCTAAATAGAATTGTTTATGCATACTTCTCTAAGTTATTATTGTGTTTATGTGTTTATACTGTAGTAAACTATAACTATACTATATAAGTATAATTACTATAAATTGTATAAGATTTTTGTTGAGAATGAAAGACATCTTAAAATATATACAAAGAGGTTTGTCATGTCAATTACTGGTGCAACGATAAATTTACTACAGAGAATAATGAAAATAGGAATTCGAAATCTTATTACTCTTTTCGTTATTCTGTTATATGGAGAGACATATGGAAAATATTTGGAGGTAAGACTGTGTGAATCAATTCACTATCATTATTTTAATTGTTAAAGTTAGATTTCCGGTTATACTTGGAAAATTATAGTTTTTATTTTCCGAAATGTGCCAGTTAACTTATATATTCGAAATTGTTATTATTGTACTATATATTTAATACAGTAGATTTTTTAGCTTATTTATTTAACTATCTTAATTTTTTTCTTTCAAAATACAACTTTGTTCGATTATTTGATACTAATAATAATTCTAATAAACTAGTATTGAAATATTCTTCTAAATATTCTTTCTTTTTTACGTCATTTAAAGGGCCTCAACGTGAATTTAGGAGATGCTCTTGTATTCCTTAGAGAATATGATAGTGCAGCTTCGTTAATGTGTACGAGAGTGATGATAGCCCAATGGAACTTTGCGACAAACGTTACTGATGCAAATCACCAAAAAATGGTGTAAAAACTTTTTAATTAATACGATATAAAAATGATTTGCTTTATGAATCTTTTAGATATGACATTTAATCTTATCTAACATCTTATTAGGTAGATGAACAAACATTAAAATTAAAATTTGAAAGATCTTCTTGGCGGAAAGCAGTTACTTTTGCTTGGAGTCGAATACCAGATCCTTTAGCAAGAAGGGAACTTAAAATGATCGCTACGAAAGGTCGAAGTTCCCTGACTGATGATAAATTCAATGAGGTAGCTAAATGTCTCTCAATAAAAATAACATTAATTTTTAATTCTTTACTCATCATGTAATTGCAATTGTTTGATCAATTACTATTATTAAATGTCAAAAAATAAATGCTATTAAATGATTATGATCTGTGATTCTATCTATTACTGCTTTTATTTATGTACAATTGTATCCAATTTACAGATACATCGTTTGATAGCAGAGATGAAAGAGATTTATGTTAAAGCCAGAGTATGTTCGTACAAACAAATTGATGGCGAATGTAATTTGAGTTTAGATTACGGTTAGTCAATCAATTTAATTTATTACATAGCACATAAAAAAAATAAATGTATATATAATACGTTTTTATTCAGAAGTAAATTATTTTTAGATTTAAATAAAATAATGGCAACGTCAAAAGATTACGACGAATTATTGTATTATTGGCATGCTTGGCACGAAGTAATTGGTCCACAATTACAAAATAAATACTTGAGATATGTTCAATTGACAAATGGAGCAGCTAAATTGAATGGTATGAAAAGCTTTGATCCTAAATATTTTTATTCTGCTACACAAAAATATTTATTAAAAGTATATTAATAAAAATGCATATTTAAAGAGCTAATAATAAAAACGTATTTCTTGGAAGGTTTTGCTGATGCTGGTGATCAGATGAGAGAGTTATTTGAAGATGAATATTTCCAACAAAATATGGCGGAGATAATGTCAGCCGTAACTCCACTCTATAAAAATCTTTTCACTTATGTGCGATCAAAACTGATTGAAAGATACGATGATAGAATACGCGAGGATGGACCTTTACCAGCACATGTTTTAGGAGATATGTGGTCTCAAAATTGGGAAGGTTTGTTCGAGTTAGTGCAACCATTTTCTGTAAGCCAAAAACTCGATGTAACTTTGGATATGATGATTCAAGGTATTACTCCAATAAGGTATGTTTCAAATTATACAAACATTTCATAAATATGTAAATTTATATATATATAAAATATGAATAATTTTCTAAAAGAATGTTTTCGTAATATTAAAAGGATGTTTCAAATAGCGGAAGAGTTTTTTACTTCGCTTGGAATGAAACCGATGCCACCGGAATTCTGGAAATTCTCCATATTAGAAAAACCTATTGATAGAGAAATTAAGTGCACTCCTAGTGCGTGGGATTTTTGTAATAGAATTGATTACAGGTGGCTATTTTAAATATTTTTGTCACACGGCAAAAAAAATTAATTTTTAATTCTTATTTTATTTTAATATATCTTTCTTTGTATTATATCAAATGGCAGAGTACTCCAAACTGCATTCTGTTACATAATTGCAGGATAAAACAGTGTACTAGAGTTACAATGGAAGATTTATTATCTACCCATTATGAAATGGCCCATTTGCAATATTATTTACAATACAAAGATCAGCCGTTGCTATTCCGAAACGAAGCAATTCCAGGTATACCTATTTTATATATTTCATGGAATTATATATTCTATTATCGACAATTTTATAACTAGGATTCCATGAAGCTGTTAGTGATGCCATTGGTTTATCCATTTTTACTCGTCAACACTTACATAAAATTGGGCTGCACAATAATTTAACGGACGATTATGATAGTAGCATAAATTTTCTGATGTTAATGGCACTTCGCAAAGTGGCTTATATGCCGTTTGCTTATATAGTTGATCAGGTAAGTAATAAATAAACAATTAAATAATTAATAATAACATAATTTCTGTATATGATAGACATGTTTTTATTATTACTTATTCATAACTAATACATAATTTCCGTATATGATAGACATGTTTTTATTATTACTTATTCATTTATAAAATAATTTTTGAAGATATAAAAATTGGAATATATGAATAAATAATTAAATCATGAAATAATTAAATCATAAACGTATTTACTTTTTCAAAAGTGGAGATGGCGTGTATTTAGTGACGGTGTGGAAAATATGACAGCGCATTGGTGGGAATTAAGATTGCAATATCAAGGCATTGTTCCACCTGTACCCAGATTTGAAAGGAATTTTGATCCAGCAGCGAAATATCATATCCCAGCAGACAGTCCTTATGCCAAGTAGAAATATAATAAATGTTAAACTATAGACAGTATTTATATAAAAATACGTATTTTTATATAAATACCTGTCTATACTTACATTACTTTTATATCTTTCATTTCTAGGTATTTTGTAAGCACTGTATTACAGTTTCAATTGTTCGAATCTTTGTGTGAAATTTCTGGTCATACTGGCGAATTGCACACTTGCGATTTTTATAGATCACGAGAAGCAGGTCGATTACTATCGTATGTAAAATTTGCAAAAATATTATTATAATAAAATAGCAATTACTAATTTATAAAGAACATGCGATTTTCGTATTTACAGAGATATTCTGTCAATGGGAGCTTCTAGACCTTGGCAAGACGTTGTTAGACATATGACAAGAGGCAGGACGAATAGAATAGACGCTGATGCCATGCTCAAATATTTTGAGCCTTTAAATGCATGGTTAAAACGACAAAATAAGATGCAACCTGTGATCGGTTGGATCACAAGTCGCGATGACAAAGGTTAGTTTAATATTAATATTTATTAAACGACTTAAAATATCATCCAATAAAAAGTGCAAAGTGTATCTTGTGAAAATAGGAATTTTTCATTTTATTTCAGAATTATTCGTACAATGGTACGAAAACAGTGCACGGAGAATTGAATTGTGGAGTTTATTTTCTCTACTGCTAACTTCTAAAATTATTATTTATATTGATAATTATATATTACATCCAGTGATTTAAAGTCTTTATAAATCTTTTTGCATATATGTTATGGAGAGGAAAAAGTTATTTTAGCTTAATTAATTATGTATGTATTATAAAAAGTAGTTTGTTTGTAAAAAGATCCTGGTGTTTTTGAGATATATTTTTACCACCTTTGCTTAATTTAATTCTTATTTTTTACTCTAACTGCAATATTTTTCAAGAAGAATTTTAAATTACATTAATTCCTGTAAAAAAAACAATGATCTTTAATATTATTGCGTTGATAATACATTTTGTTGCATCAATCTTTTTTATTTCCTTTTTTATTTATAGTTATCCATTTTTCTTAGAACATAGTATCTCTTTTTCTACTTCCTTCTTTTTAGTTTTTTAAATTTGGCAGAAATTAAAAAAAATTTTACGTAAGATGTATGTACACTCATTAGCTAAAAAATTACAACGCTTTTTTCGATGGATTTAGAATGCAACCTGCTCACCAATTGCTTCTTATGAATCTAATCATTTACGTGCTCAACATGCACGTATTATAATTGCATCAATTTATTATCTACTTCATTCTTTTTCATGGATTCAGATGGATTCAAATATTTGTATACTAATCAGTTATTTAATTTATGTCTAAAATAGCCTCAGGATTTTTGTAATCTTCTTTTAGATCTTTAGGCTTAACTCTAGCTCGCCAGTGTTATTTTTTGTTATCTTTCCGGCCACATCAAGATCTGCGGAATCCAGCAACTTTGTCACACTATATCTCTGAACTGAATGCATATTGTTTAGCTCAAAATGTGTGAAATTTATATTACAAAGACAGATAAATCAAAGAAAAATGAATCAAAGAAATAATACTTTTATTTTCAATTAATTACTATCGTATGGTTAACAAAAATTTTATTGGAAAATTTCATTGTAAGAAATTGAACCGATTGAATTGTGAGTGTAAAAAATATTTGTTCAGAGGAAATGTTTTTTAAAAAGATTTTGTTTTTAGAAAGAGTAAAAAACATTAATTAGGAATTTATTAACAGCTCTAATAATAGAATAAATTGTACAATATTTTTCGAAATTACCCCCAATGAGAAATGAAATCGACATCGAATCGATGTCGATTCGACGTCGAAATCATCAAATCGACATCGAATTGACGTCGATCCCCAGTGAGAAATGATAATGGAATCGACATCGAAATCATCAAATCGACATCGAATTGACGTCGATTCGACATCGATTTTATTGTCATTTCTCACTGGGTCTTATCTAAAAAGATACAATTATTAAAATATGTCACATCTTCTAATTAAGAACATTAAAAAATTGCTTCTTGAGAAAAATGGCAGTTTATTTTATTCAACCATCACGCGATTCGTTTTCGATATCCAAAAATCTGTAAGAAATACCTTGTCTGATTCGAAATTCGTATTGGCTACAGCAGGATTATATAGTTAAGCGTTATTCAGCAATTTCTGAACCACAGATGTCACTACTGATGCTATTGACAATATTGACGTCTAGTCTGCCGTCTGGTTGCATCATTCGAGAATCGAGTTCAATGCAAAGTGTGGTTGTGATATGATATGTCAAGGTATGGAAGTTTTGTGGTGACTGTAGTTTGAGTATTACGCGATCAAAATCGCAAACGAGCAACAATTGTAAAACTCTTATAAGTTTTCAATACTCATTTGTTGAATTCTTATTACACACGTGGCATTTCACGAAGATATAAGGTTATTATAATTTTTGGTTAGGGGGGAAAAGAAGCGGCGTTTTTCGAACATGGATGTATTTTTCGCTCGTGGACTGAGACTTAGTGTTGAATTAGGTAATGCCTCAACATTGTTAACAAAATATCTTCCATTGTCAGCATGTTGCACATGTCGTGTCAATACACGTTGGAAGTCAGCATTTCCTGGTAAGTTCAAACATGAACATGGTGTAGTTCAGTAGATTCAATATGGATTATCAAGCTTATATTTCACTTGCAGAAAGATATCATCGTTATAAGGCCGCGTCGTATAATTCCTTGGGCCTTGTAAATAATATATTTGTTTATCAAAAATCATTGAAACAAGAGATTAATAAAAATGGTATTACCCTGGCATATTATTCGGACTTTAAACAAAGCTCTGATGGTGATTGCCAAAAACCTCAAACAGAACAAAAATTGACAGTATTTCAAAAAATGAAACAAATGACTAAAGATTACTGGCATGTGTTAATACCTGTGCATGTGATTACTTCTATAGGATGGGTAGCTATATTCTATACTGCTGTTAGGAAGTATGTACTAATGGAATTAACATATCACTGTTGTTTGAGTTTAGCAATTAATCAACTTAAAACTATATATTTTTAGTGGTGTGGATGTAGTCCAGTTGTTGGAATATATGAATTTTAGCGAAAAATACATAGATTTAGTACGTAATTCGAGCGCTGGTGACTTTGCCATTACTTATGCTCTTTATAAGATATTTACCCCAATCAGATATACTGTTACTGTTGGTTTGTAATTTTAATATTTTATGTGTGTAATAGATAATTTGCGCATTATCTTAAATATTAATACTAAAATATAACAGGAGGAACGACAATGGCAATTCGATATTTGAGCAAATTAGGCTACGTGAAGGCATTGTCATTCAAGCTTCAATCAGTAGAGGTGAGTAATGTACCTGAAATGCAATGTCATTTTCTGAAATTGAAGAAATAAACTGTTTAACATATAATTATATCTGTGTTTGTATTTGAAATATCTTGTCTGTTTTCTTTTTACACGCACACGTGGTGCAGCCTGCGGGCAAAGCTATGAGTAGGTTACCGATCACGATTAATCTCAAGTATATCATACTGATCTCTCTTGCTTTTATTTTTGGCGAGGTGCTCTTATCGCGTAAAGAGTAGTATTTAGTAGATTTTGTTCTCGATTTTACGGCGACATGTATACTCTTCGTAATCGCCTTTAATCGTGTTGTAGCCAGTACAGTCAAATAAATGTGCAGCAGAAAACAAGAAAAAATTCAAGGCAGAGTGTAAAACGGATCGACACTCGGAATCGTCAAAACCATAAATTACTGCCGCACTATGTCGGACTTACTGGTCGGACTGGGCTTGACGTAGCTCGGGGATTTGTTGTATATTTCTGTTCATAAATATATATTATATCATTGTAAATCATTTCCTGCATTAAATATTCCTTCATTATTTATCCCGTTCATCATTCCTCATACAGTCAAAGTATAATATATCAAAGAGTACAATGGATCAATGCAAAATATCGAATAAAAAGTGCATTTACTGCAGTTTGTCTTTATTGAAGGATAGTCATTTATACACACTGCATATGCAATTTAAATAAGATTATACTAGTTATCTACAATATGCGCGCGAATTTAAAATTGTATATAACAATTACGCTTAGACCTGAAGAATAACAATAGTTATTTGGCAGCTCGAGTTGTGCGTCTTTCAATGCTATAATATTGTATATTGATCGTTATAGCACGTTTACATGTTTTTCCAGTCTCGATTCTATGCTTTGTGCGAAAACATTAAAGCAGTCATTAAAGACTACGAAGTGTATTTTGACGAACTTTAATATTACGAGTACTCGCAGCGAATCGATATATCTGACTTAATAAATACTGTCAATGAATGCTATATGAAGTACAATGAAACTTAATTGATAGAGGAAATTTGCAGGAATGTTCCTGAGATTCATATTTCCGTCATAAATTTGTATAATATTACAATAAACTTTAAAAAATGTTATATACACATGTTAAAAAGTATAAAGTTTTTGCTTAAAAACGCATAATTATTATGCTACTATATCACAGTTGCCTGCGCAACTAGTCGTTCTAATGAAACCACTGCATTCGCAGAATAGTACCTTTACTAAATATAATAAATAAGAATCGCATATATTAAATGTACCACTTATCTAGATTCTAAATTATCTTCGATTAAAAAGAACTTGTACTCATAATCATATGCTACGTGTACTGACATGTCAAATTGATCCCAGAAGACAATATAATATTGCAATTTCCTAATTGAAACTAGTTTTATTATTTCAAATTTATTTTGTTTAAAAATCGGAATAATTAAAATCACATTTTTTCCTACAACAAGTGTTCCTATAAGGACGCGACAGATTAAATATTTTTATCGTACATTAATTAACAGCCTATTATGTATTGATTCGATAAGAAATATTGATAATTATTCAGATAGCAAGGTGTTGTCTATTTAATAACATTAATTAGTCATTCTTATGACGAATGTGATGTTTAAAATGATGTCCAAAAATGACGTGGATTTGTCACAGGTACATAACGTCATAAGTCGACGTCAAAAATATGTCATTTTTTTCGTGTTATTGACGGTAGCAAGGTGTCGTCCATTTGAAGTTATTAATTAGTTATTCTCTTATGACGAATCTATATGGTTCCTGAGACAAAGTGAAAATTACAAAAATGAACAAATTTGCTAGGTGTTAAAGTTATAAATATTCGAGTAAATTCAATTACTTTTGTAATTTTTACTCCATTTTAAGAAACACAATCAATACTAGAAAAATGCCTATCACGGTCGAAGCTGAATCTTCATTGCTTTAAATAATTCAATGTTGAATTATTTATTTTGTTTATAAATCGGAATAATTAAAATCACATTTTTTCCTACAACAAATGTTCCTATAAGGACGCGACAAATTAAATATTTTTATCGTACATATACCAATATACACTATATATGTACTTACATATTATTATATTGTAGTCTTTTCAAACTGCGCGTCGAATTGTTTTTTCGAACTATAAACGCAATTAAAACTACTCTAGTAATCGCGAATTAAATTGACAAACAATTTAATAATTTGATGCTACCATCAAGCATCATATTATAAAGATGTTGATATGTTGAAACTGTTAATAAATTTATTGCGAAAAATATTACCTCGGCCGGGACTTGAACCCGGATCTCTTGTATTCCGTACGAGCGTTCTAAGCCATTAAACCACCGAGGCTTCATTTTAAGAATAATAAATTCCTTGACGTTTAAATATCGTAAAAATGACGTGAATTCTTATATTTCTTATCACTCACGCAACGTCATAAACTGATATAAAAAATACATCATTATTTTCGTGTTATTAACGGAACAAATGTAAGAAGTTATTAATTGATCACTAATAATTATGTTACTAGTACGTCGACAATTGGCCATTTATTCGATGTTATTAAGTATGTCATTGTGAAGATGTCAGAAATAAATGACGTCATTATATCTTAAATATCACATGACGTCAATAATTTAAAATGATTTATCAATGTCAAAATAACGACAGCTTGCTACCTGGGTATATTAGCACATACGCGCCGTGATAGATTAACAGTGACAACTGATAGCAAGAATCCTGTGTGATAAGTAATGTAAAACGTGATTAAACCGATGATCAGTTTTTACTAACGTTATGAATAAATATTTAAAGACTCATGGATAATCGTATTTGTTGCGAATGTCTTTTATACAGTTCTATTTCTGCCGATCTGTGTCAATATTCACCAAATATGTCAAAGGTCAGTTTCGTAGTTCGTTTTTATTTCAAGATATTCAATAATATCTTGAGATGCTAATACACCTAACAAGAGATGACCATCGAATCGACACATAATTGATATCCTACCATCGATATTTGTATTGATGTCGATTCGATATCAATTTGATGAGTCATTTCTCACTGGGACAAGTCTGTAATTGATTTACGATATCTCAAGATTGATTTAGGACAATCTTGAATATAAGAATGTACTGTATAAATACCATTCTTGAATATAAGAATGTACTGTATAAATACTAGTCAGTCTACTTGATTTTTTACCATTAATCTGCTTTTAACAAATTTTGACATGTTTCTTGCTAGATCCTGTATCTGTAACTTTTTGCCATTTTCTAGAATCTGTTGTCGATAAATTTTGATTGTCTGGGAGTAATCGAGAAAGTTTATAATTAAAGCGATATGATAGTAAATAGATCATACCAGTTTTGCAAAAAGTTTTATCTTAGCTGTTTTTGATGGTCTAAAGATTAGAATTGAAAGCTCTTATCTCAATTACATTAAAAACATTAATTGATATCACGCACTGTCGCTTTTTCCTGTTTTCTAATCAATTTTGTTGAGAAGATCTATTTTCAAAGCTAGGCCCTAATTATGTATTACAATATATACGTATGTATGTCTTGATTCTATAACATTCAGGAATATATGTTAACATTGATTCCTTCGTTTTATTTAACTGATTTTCATAGTATTCTTTATCGGATTAGTGTTACGTGCGCAATTCGAAAAGCTCCGACAGATGCTTGAACGTCAGTACACTTAGCCCATAAACTGATAGCTAGCGGACACTGGTTGCGGTGCCCTCGGTTGCATATGCGATATGCGTTGGATGTGACACGCACGACACATAAGTCTGCCATCAAGTGGGTAGCACCGTTTATCCGGCTCGTCGGTCAACTGCATGCCACAATCCTCACAAACGTAGCAGTCCACATGAAAGTCCTTGTCCATCGAGACTACCCTGACCGTTTCCTCAGTTCCCTAAAATAGAAAAGAACACAGCTCGTAAAAAGAGATTTTATCGGAAACGCCTGCCATGCGCCTTAATGACGTAAGCGAGTTAATTTCCAGCGCGCATACCTCAACCGGCGTGATTCCCTTTCCACAAGATGCACACTTAGGCGCGAACATTCTGTGGTAATCGTTTACACAATAGATCTTATTGTCAACATCGACCGTAAAGGGAACGCCATCGAGACATTCGTTGCACACGCAACACCTGAAGCAGCCCGGGTGATACGATTTGCCCATGGCTTGCAGTATCTGCGGAAAGCAAAAGGTGACGTTACACTGAATTACAATAGAAATCTAACGGATAATAATGATCGACTCTCCTCTCTCGTCGCTTACCATTTCCATGATAAGGTGGCCGCAAATCGCGCACTTCTCGGCCGTCTGTTGGAAACCAGAATACTGCGAACCCAACAATTTATATGAGTTACGTGAATTAAGTGTGATTTCAATAACTGTTATTTCCGTCATCAGTATTAAAATAGCTCACATACCAAGTAATCCTCTTCACAGTAAACCCTGCCATGAACGTTGTAGAAAGCTTTACCGCGGAGAGCCCTTCCGCAGGAACAGCATATGAAGCAATTGGTATGATAGAGATTACCCATTGCTTGACAAGCCTGTCCGGCACCGGTCACTTTCTCACCACATGTATGGCAAATACCTATCATCAAGAAATATTAATGTGAAACTTTATGCGCTACTTATCATGAAATAATAAAGAAGAAGTATGAATTCTTTCGTTGCAATATATACATATTTATCAAAATTGTCGAACAACATATTACAAATGTTTCTAAACTTTTACACTTTTACAAACGAATTATAAAAATTGCCTATATCCAACAATTCATATAATTCAAATGATTATAATAAACTAGAAATATAAATCTTAATTCAGTGGAAAATTGATTACATCACGAAGCGATAAGTCCGAAAATCATTTGTAGCGCAACGTATTCGTGCGGAGTTTAAGAACACGAGAATTGAGGTTTACCCATTGGGGAGTTAAAAATATACCCATCGATGAACGTGACAATGCGGCACATTCATCATGTTCGCACGTTCACACACATAATTTAAAAATCGTTTAAAAATCACCCAGTTTATTGTGAATGAACAGATAAAAAATGCGAACTCACAGCTCTCGATAGGCAACAGCAATCCTGCCATCCCTTAGCACAACCGTTTCCTAAAACTGTACCCACACTGTTTATTGCAACTTGGTTTCGTTAGACTAGATTGGACTAGAATCCGAGTTGGACTGGTCTATCTATAATGAGATTTGCTCCCGAGCACAGCGATACGGCCACGCGTATAGGACGTTACACGAAGACTACTAGCTGTCTAAGTATGAAAGCGACTAGAGAGACATTACATTCGCCTAAACGCTTGCCACTTCTCGACTGACATTGCTTCGCTCAACCGAGGTTCCTGTCTGGTCGTGCTCCATTCTTTATTGCGCGATTTTAGGCTGCGTTCACATTTATTTTCTAAAATTATTGTGATAATTTTCTAATTATCTACATTATAGCATCTTCCTTTGCCTTTCTTTGTATTGCTAGTTTAACATTTTCGAGAAAGCAAAGTTAATAATCTTCATCATTTTGATACAATATTTTATTAAATTATTGTAGTATCGATAATTTTATTCTACTATAATCGAGATTTTATCCTATTAATAATAGATTTATTTGATCAAATTTTTTTTTTTTTATATCATTATTTTTTTGACACGTAAATATTTAAAATACATCATTTAATTTCTTCAGATTTTTTATAGTTCTTAAAAGTGAAGAAATTAAAAAACTATCTTATTTTTAACATCAAAAATAATCTATTATATTAAAGCGCAAAAAATATTAGATTTAAAAAAATATATGATAATAATAACAACATAAAATGGTTTATTACGAACAAAGAATTATAGGAAGAAATAGATTCAACAGAATATTTTTATGAAGTAATTAGCATAAATAGATATAACAGAAACAGAGGAAGAGAGAAAGACAGCAAGGGAAGCAAAAAATTTAATTCTTCATTCTGCGTCAAGCGTAATATTGTAAACTGCGTAGTTGAAAAATATATACCGTTATCGTACTTGACACGAAGAAGTCATAGAAACTACTAATCGCATATTGTTGTATCGATTCAACACGTTGCGTCTACCGATATTAGTACGAGTGTGACTTTAAAGAGTCGTAAGATTCAAGTAAGCTATCTATTTGTGTATGCACCTATGCATCGCATTCGTCCTCAGCCCTTTACGCAAGAGAAAGACGTGAGAGAGGTACGTGGGTGGAAGCTAACACAGCACGTAAGAGAGTGAATGTCAACGAATTGTCGCGCTAAAAAGTATTGCGACGCACCGAAACTCGATTCCGTTTTCCGAAACCGGTCTACTGCGAACTCACGCCGTGAGAATTGGCACAGCCTTCGTATCGTGCCTTTTAGCG